TCCCCCACCTCCAACCCCATGGCAGTTAGCTGTGCACATGCTCCTAAAGCAGCCTGCACACAGGGACCTGCAAATATTAGGGATCTGGTCTCTGATTGCTGATTGCTGCTTCTGATTACATAGGCACAGATAAAGAGGGGGGTAACCTTTGTGGTTGCATCTTTCCCCATTGTTGCAAGGCTCCCCCTCTCTGACTGAAGTGACTTCCAAGGGATTTAAAGGACCAGCACCCTTTTTTCACCTTCTTCATTTTTCTCTTTTCCCCTTTTGGGAGCTAGACAGTAAAGTAATTGCATATATAGGGAAAATTAGAAAGCAGTTGTGCATGACCAGGGAAAGGAGCAGGCTCAGAATAGACCTGAAAAGACCTTAAGTTTACACTGCAGGACGATCCTTGACCCAGAGACAGCCTACAACAATTTTAAAAAGCAATAAACAAAAACGATAACAAAAATCAGCAAATCTGAGGGAAGGGAGAGAATATGATTTTCAGAGCTATGTTGTTATATTCAAATGTCCAGCTTTCAGCAAACAATCACAAGGCATACAAAGAAGCAGGAAAGTATGTCCCATTCAAAGGAAAAAGAAATAAATCAACAGAAACTGTCCCTGAAAAAGACCTGATGAAATATTTATTAAACAAATATTTTAAAACAACTGTCTTAAAGTTATTCAAAGAACTAAAGGAAAATGTGGAGAAAGTCAAGAAATGATGTATGAACAAAATGGAAGTATCAATAAAGAGATAGAGAACCTAAAAAGAAACCAAAAAGGAATTCTGAAACTGAAAAGTACAATAACAGAAATGAAAAATGATTAAATGGATTCAAAGGCAGATTTGAGCAGGCAGAAAAAAAGAATTAGCAAATTTGATGATAGGACAATGTAAATTATCAAGCCTGAAGAATTCAAATACAGAAATGGAAGAAAAGTGAACAAAGACTAAGGGACCTGTGGGGCACCATCAAGAAGATCAATTTACTCATTGTAGTTGTCTCAGAAGGAGAAGACAGAAAGAAAGGGTAGGAGAGAATATTTGAAGATATAATGGCTGAAAACTTCCCAAATTTGAAGACATGAACATAAACATCCAAGAAGCTCAACAAACTCCATATACTATGACTCAAAGACATCCACACTGAGATATATTATAATCAAACTTTCAACAGCAGCAAGAATCTTGAAAGCAGCAAGAAAAACATGACTCATCATATGCAAGGGGTCCTCAATAATATTACTAGCGGATTTCTCATCTGAAACTTTGGAGGCCAGAAAATAAAATTGGCTGATACACTCAAATTACTAACATAAAAAAAACTGTCCACAAAGAACCTTATATCTGGCAAAATTGTCCTTCAAAAGTGAGAAACAAATTAAGACATTCCCAGATAAACAAAAGATGAGGGAGTTTGTTACCATTAGACCTGTTCTGCAAGTAATGCTTGGGAGGGAGTCCTGTAGCATGAAATGAAAGAACACTAACCAGTAGCTCAAAGTTGTATAAACAAATAAAGATCATAAAGATCTTAATAAAGGTAAATGCATGGGCAATTATAAAAACAACTTTTATGGTAACAATGATTTGTAACTCTACCTTTTGTTTTCTACATGACTTAAGAAGTTATGCATTTAAAAAAAATCAGTCTCAAAGCTAGTAGTACTGTAACTTTGGTTTGTAATTCCACATTTTGTTTTCGACATAATTTAAGAGACTGATGCATTTAAATTAATTATTAGTTTATATTTCATGGCATACATGTATAAAGATATAATTTTGTAACTTCGATAACTGAAAAGGTAGGAAATGGAGGTATAAAGGAGCAGAGTTTTTGTATATTATTGACGTTAAGCCAGTATAAATGAAAATGTAAGTGTTCTAACTTTAGGATGTTAAGTAAAAGCCCCATGGTAACCACAAAAAAAAAATAGCTATGAAATATGCACAAAAGGAAATAAGAAAGGGATTTAAGCATTTCACTTCAATAATTCAACTAAACACAAAATAAGACAGTAATGCAGAAAATCAGGAACAGAAAAGCTATATGACATAAAGAAAACAAATAAGAAAATGTCAAAAGTCCCCCCATATCAGTAATTATTAATACTTCAAATATAAATGGAGTAAACTCTCCAATCAGAAGACAGAGACGGCAAAATGGATTTTAAAAAAACAAAACCAAAAATGTATCCAACTATATGTTGCCTGTAGGAAATTCATTTGAGATCCAAGGACACAAATAAATTGAAATTGTGAAAGGATGGAAAAATATAGTCCATGTATATAGTAATCAAAAGAGAGCAGGGGGCCAGGCGCGGTGGCTCACGCGTGTAATCCTATCACTCTGGGAGGCCGAGGCGGGTGGATCGCTCAAGGTCAGGAGTTCCAGACCAGCCTGAGCAAGAGCGAGACCTCATCTCTACTAAAAATAGAAAGAAATTATTTGGACAACTAAAAATCTACATAGAAAAAAATTAGCCGGGCATGGTGGCGCATGTCTGTAGTCCCAGCTACTCGGGAGGCTGAGGCAGTAGGATTGCTCGAGCCCAGGAGTTTGAGGTTGCTGTGAGCTAGGCTGACGCCACGGCACTCTACTCCAGGCAAAAGAGTGAGACTCTTGTCTCAAAAAAAAAAAAAAAAAGAGAGCAGAGGTAGCTAATACTAACATCATACCAAATAGGTATTAAATTAAAAAAAAGCTTACAAGAGACAAAGAAGGACATCACATATTAATTAAGGTTTCAATACAGCAAGAAAATATAGAAATTGTAAACATTCATGTACCTAATAACAGACCATTAATATATACAATGCAAAAAATGACAGAATTGAAGGGAGAAATAGTTCTACAATCATAGCTGGAGATTTCAATATCTCACTTTCTATAATAAATAGAACAACCAAACAGAAGACAAGTAAGGAAATAAAGGATTTAAAAGACACAATAAATCAACTAGATCTTACAAACATATACAGAACATGTTATCAAACAACAGACAACTTCTGTGGAAAAAAATAGGGCAGTTCCTTAATAAATTAAAACTAGAATTACCCTATCATCCAGCAATTCCACTTCTGGTTATATATTCATAAGAAATAGAAGGATTGAAAGCAGAGTCTCAGAGATATTTGTACCCCCATGCTCATAGCAGTCTTATTCACAATAAGTAAAACATGGAAACAACCCAAGTTGTCTCTCAACAGATGAATGGGTAAGCAAATGTGGTATATATTATAACAATACAGGCAACAGAACTTTACTCAACCTGAAAAAAGAAAAAAAAATTCTAACATATGGTACAACAGAGAACATTATGCTAAGTGAAATAAGCAATCACAAAAACACAAATACTATATAATTCCACTTATGTGAGATACTTAGAGCAGTCAAAGTAATAAAGCAGAAAGTAGAATGGTGGTTGCCAGAGCTGGGGGAAGGAGGAAAGAGAAAGTTATTGTTTAATGAATATAGAGTTTCAGTTTTGCAAGATTAAAAAAGTTATGGAGATGAATGCCAGTGATGGCTGTACAACATTATGAATGTATTTAATGCCATTGAACTTACACTTAAAAATGGGCAGATGGTAAATTTTATGTTATATATATATCTTACCACACACCAAAAAATTGGAAAATTACTTCATGTCATGAATCACTTTTTTTTCCAATTTGATAATAATTTTCATTTTGGTAAAATCTGGCTTTTTACAAATTAACTAATTTCTTTTTAGGTCATGGGACACTGGTCCATGGATGAATAATATAATTTAGTTACATTAAGCTTAGATTTAAAAATTTAGTTTTTTTTTTCTTATAAACCAGCCAGTTTATTATTTTGTATTAAGATGTAGAACTTTTACCATGCAGACTGAAATACCTATCTCAGCATGAACAGTGAATTTTCTTCCTAGAGTCAGTTACAAGGAAAATCAGGTTATTTAGCGAGTGTGGAATCCAAACAAGAGGAGGCTAATCTTAAGACCTCATCCATGAAAGCCTGCGGCACACTTTCCCACCACCCGGATGGCCCAGCCTCCAGAAAGCTCATTGACTCTTCCCTCCCCATCTTAGTCTGGCTGAGCACCGCCACTGGTCACTGGTCACCTCCTACAGCTACCCTGGCCTAGGAACTGTACCACTGCTTGCTGGTTTGTGTTGTTAACTCCACGGTTATTAACAGGTAAGGTTCTGAAGGGAGCACATCAACTGCTCCCATACACCAACAATGAGACACGATAATCATGTTGAGTTGTTCTCCCAAACCCACTCCACTCAAGTCTGTCAGATAATGTTTTGTACAGGTTCTTTCCACCTCCATTAGCACATACATAGGTTACCTATAAATTCACATAATGCAACCTACCTCCTACTGAGGATTGAGGTTTTTAAGGTTTTTTTTTTTTTCCCACTTTCTTGATCAGTAATTCCCAACCATGTAGAAATTAATGAAACCAATTGTGTCACCACGGCTACCAAGACAGAAATACCAAGTGATATGTACTTTTCAGATTAAATTAATTAATGTAATCTTGCTCTCTATAACGTAGAAAACACAAAGACGCAGTCCTCAACTTAGTACTCAATACTAGGAAGGGTCAAGTCATCGAAAAATGTCTTTTTACAGTAGAAAAGTTTGCTTTCAAATTAAAAAACATGTATTGCAAACATTATGTAATAATGATAAAATTACAGAAAAAATGTACACAGACTGACCCACAGCATTCATACCACACCAGAATTTTGCCTGCAATAAAACAATGAATTTTGTCACAAAAAGTCAGTTAGTCCATGCTGGCTGAAAACTTCAGTCCCAGACCCAGTGAATGAGGACGGACCACACAGTGCATGCTTACCAGACATATACACATACATTACCATTCTTTAATGCCCCTCAACAGGGTTTTGAGAGAAGGAGGGATGAAATGTGCGTATGTGCACTCTCAAAGGCAGAATTCTCTTCCAATTACAAAGTCATACACATGATTGACCCTTTAGTATGTCCTGGGTAACAGTTAAGATTTTGTCTGTGGGAATCCACCTTTGAAAATCACAACAAAAATCAATAGGAAATGATTTAATATAAAATATACAAATTTCTCAGTGTGTGTACTTCCACAGAACAGGAAGATGGGGACAACTAAAATAAATTTTGTTAAAAAATAACATTCCCCTTACCTTGTCCTTGCTAATCAACACTCAAAACCAAATCTGTACAAAACTAGGAACACAGAAAAGGGCCAGAGATGATATCACATTATAAAGTCTTAGGACCCACCCTAAACTTCTGTCCTCACCAACACCCTCCCCTAACAGAATTGAGGGTTCCCAGTCCGCTGGAGAGAGTGAGTGGTCTCAGATCATCACCCTGCTTCGCAAAGGATGGCCCAGGTCACTCGCTGTCAAACTTGACAGAATTGACCTGGACAGAGATGGAGCCTCCCCGGTAGCTGCCTCGCTTCTTCTTGGTTTTCTCATGACGGAAGAATTTGCCCTTGGTGAACTTCAGAACCTGATTGGCTCGTTCCCCCCAGTCTCCAGATGCACCTCGCTTGGCATCAAAGGAATTGTCTGCCACTCGTGAATCCACCTCAATTTCCTCCTCCCTCACCCTTCGGAATGGGGATGATGCTCTTTTTTCTCCTTTCTTCCTCTTTGGAAATGTGTTGGGGGTCTGGAGCTTTATCTTCTTGGCTTGAGGAGTCTCTGCCTCCTTGGGAGCCTTATTCTGCTTCCGCTTCTTTCCTGAACCTACAAAAACAAAAAGCCAGACTCAGGAGACTAGTTTCCTGTTCCTCCTCCCAGGTTCCCACAGAGGGTCCGCAATTAGAAGCCTAGTGGTGGGCCTCCTCTCCCCACCCCACCTGCAAAGAGTATATATATCCCATCCTGATTTGGGGGCACAAAACCCAGAGGTCAGATTCTCTGGATACAGACCTGGCTTAGAAACTGCCACTGCTGCCTTTTTCTTTTCTTCCTCCTCCTCCTCCTCACCATCCTTGGCTGCTTTTCCATTCTGGGCAGTCAGTGCAGAGGTGCCATTGGCCTTGGGGGCTTGTGGTCTTGGAGTGCCCTTGCCCTTGGGCTTCTCTTCCTCCTCCTCACTGGAATCATCAGAGGAAGAACTGGTGCTGCTCTCAGCCTTCACTTTCTTTGTGGAGGCTGGCTTAGAAGGGGCCACACGTCCTGCTGCCTTCTGCGGCTTCTTAACCGGAGATTTAGATGTCTTCTCTTCCTCCTCCTCCTCCTCACTGCTGGAGCTGTCTGAGTCAGAGCTGCTATCCCTTCCACCCTGAGGAGTCTGCTTGGCAGGCAGAGATGGAGCTGCTTTGACAGTCACCTTGGACTTAGAGGTGGCCACAGTCTTTTTTGTCTTCTCCTCCTCCTCGCTAGAACTGCTCTCTTCCTCGCTGGAGCTGCTATCAGCCTTTCTTGTCAGAGGCTTCTGGCCACTGCCTGCAGGTTGCTTGGGAGCTGCCGCTGGCTTAGCTATAGGTGGCTTGGTAGTGGCAGCTACCTTATTACTTGAGGAATTCTTGGCGTTGCTCACTGGCTTGGAAGGGGCTCCATCCTCAGAGCTGTCAGAGTCTACACAGAGAGAGGGTAGAATGAACAGCTCCCCAAATCAGATTCCACGAAGCCCTATAGCAACTGCCTAAGGGATAAAGTATCCCAGTGAACTGAGGGCCCCCATGTGCCTTACCTGAGCTGTCTGAAGAGCTCTCTGCTGCCTTCTTTGCTGGAGCTGGTTTGGTGGTTGCTCTAGAGATGTTTGCTTTAGCTGGTGGTTTCTTCTCTTCCTCAGAACTTGAATCTAGAGAGAACCTGTAGCATTATCCTGGGTCCAGAATCCCAACCCAACCAGAACAGCCATAAAAAGAATGCAAAGACATACACAAAGCCTCAGCCTTGTCCTTCCTTAGCAAAAAGCAACAGAGGGACAGAATGATTTTTCGTTTCTTCATTCCTCACACCGTCACCCAGACCCTACTTTAGGGGGAAACCACATCCCTCTGACTCACCAGACTCATCACTGCTGTCTTCACTGCTTTCCGCAGGCTGTTTCTTTTCTGCAGCTTTCTTGAGAGGCTGGTTTTTCAGGGACTTCTTCAGTGGGGGAGCAGAAGGCGGGGGTACTGAACTGTAGGGACCTGTTTAAAGGGGATGGTATGGTGGTTTTAAAATACGTGCATAAATTCTTTGGTACTTCTAGAAACAGCGTAACTCCCTTTCCCTTGAGTGTGGGCTAAAACTAGTGACTCATTTCTAATAGACCACGGTGTCACTTTTGAGTCTAGGTTATAAAAGGCACTGCTTCTTCCGTGCTATCTTGAATCACTAGTTCCGGGAGAAGCTAGCTGTCATGATATGAGAACGCTAAGCAGCTCTATGGAAAAGTCCACGTGGTTATGGCAACTGGGCCCTGGTTACAGTTGTGCAGCTTCCAGTCACCTGGTTTTTTCTTCATGGGTTTTTTCTGCTCCTCTTCCTCTTCACTGGAGGAGTCTTCACTGCTGGAACTCTTCTGGGTAGGGGTGGCAGCTGTTTTCACTGAGGCCTTGGCCACCACTTGCTTTTTAGGTACAGTCTGTATCTGAAAGAAAATCGATTACCACAAGAAAACATTGACCCAACCAATCTTGCCAGGGAATGGAGACACAGATACATGTAGACATCCCACCCTGGTCACCTCTTCCCTAATAGAAGTTACGACCCAGACCTTCTTGGGAATGGCTGCTGCCTTCTCCTCCTCTGAGTCATCACTGCTACTACTGCTACTGCTGCTGCTACTGCTACTAGCTGCTTTACCGTTGGTTACTTTAGGTGCTGCTCGAGCTGGCGGACCTGGTTTGGCTGGGGCTTTAGCCTGAGCTTTAGCTACAACAGGTCTTGTCTTTGGCTTCTGGTTCTTTGGTGCCTGATCCTCTGAGCTTGAGTCAGAATCGGAACTTGAGCTCTTGGCCTTCTTAGGAAGAGCTTTGACTGCCTTGGCTGCCTTGGCTTGGGGTTTAACTCCCTTCTGGACAGGTTTTTTCTTTTTGTCTTTCTCTTCCTCATCATCACTGGATTCTTCACTGCTGCTGCTCTCTGATGCTTTGGCCACAGCCTTTCCAGGATGCTGAGGCAGACTGGCCCGCTTGGCAGATACAGCAGCCTTCTTAACTGGAGGCCCTTGAGCTTGTTCCTTCTCCTCACTGCTGTCCTCACTACTGTCACTGGATGAGGTCTTCTTCTTAGTCTTCTTAGTCACTGGTCCATCTGCCTGTAACTTCCTCTTTGGGGTCTTAGCGGACCTGTTCAGCCAGAAGCTATAGATGTCCAAGAGGGAAGAGGCGTTGGCATCTTGCTGTGTAGCGCCTGTCGCTTTGGCGAACTTATTGGCCACTTCTCAGAGTTGGTTATTGCGCAGAAAACCAAGCACAAGGGGATACAGGTCGCTGGGAACCACGCGGCGCAAGCCGGCGTCCGCCATCCTCCAGGCAATACGCGTCACTCTAAAAATTTAATTTTAAAGGAAAGAATTTACTCATCTGTATAGCATTAAGAAACTTCAATTTTCTGTCTTCAAGCATTCTGTTTCCAATTTAGTATTTTTAACAAATTCTTTCAAGAAAATCCAATGCTCAGTTTGCTGGAGATGGGATAGTCTCCAGTGAGTCATGTATAAAACCAAAGCCAAGTACTGCCTGGGAGAATTTAGCCTGACTTACAGCTTTATATCTAGGATCATTGCTACCATTGCATCAATTTGTTCCCCAAGTTGAAGATTTGGACAAAGGTAAATAGTAACATGAAACTTAAAGAAAGCCATGGAAACATATGAATCCCAGATCACATGAAGCTCAGCCCCCTCCAACTCTTCAACAAATCCTACCTGATACTAATAAACATACTAAACCACGATTATGTGCTAAGTCTATGTAAACACTGGAGATGAAAAATGACCAATATGTTGACTGTCACTATGCACCCATGCAGTTCAGTCTAGTGCGAAAGACAAGTGACGATGGCAATATGATGCAGTATGTTCTGTGCTACAATAGAGGCAGTTACCAAGGGGCCATGTGAGCACAGAAAATAGGAGTGAAAAAAGGTGATACAATAGAGGTTATACTTGAAGATAAAATAATTAGGTAGACAGGCAAAGAAGAAAGTTTCAGACAGAAGGAATAGGATACAAACAACCAGAACACTTGAAAGAAAATGAGTGGTTCTTACCATGTAAGTGAACTTGAGAATACATATGGAAAAGTGGCAGGAGATGAGGCAGGGGATATAGTCAAGGGCCGGATCAAGAAGAGATTTTTAAAACTAATAACTAAGATTTTAAACTTTATCCTACACATGCAAGTGGGACCCTGTTTTAGTCCATTTTGTGCTGCTATAACAGAATATCTGAGACTGGGGAATTTATAATGAATAAAAATTACTTAGCTCATGGCTCTGGAGGCTGGGAAGTCCAAGACTGAGGGGCTGCATCTGATGAGAGGCTTCTTGCTGTGTCATAACATGGAAGAAGGCATCATACGAGCAAGAAAGAGCAAGAAAGCTGAACTCGCTTTTATAATAAACCCACCCTCTTGATAACAAACCCATTTCCACAGTAATGATGTTGATCCATTCATGAGGGCCGAGTACTCGTGACCTAATGACCTCTTAATGGTCCCATGTCTCCACACTGTTGCATTGGGGATTAAGTTTCCAGCACATGAACTTTGGGAGACACATTCAAACTAAAGCAGATCCATGGCCATATTTTAAGCAGCAACCACACATAAAGAAATTCACACATTTGAAAGATCACTTTAGAAGAAATGTGGAGAAGTAACTTGAAGAGGTGGTACTGGAAGCAAGGAGAGGTGCTTGGACACTAAAACTGTAATATTCCAGGTGAAATAGAACATGTAGTAAAAGTAGGACAATGGCGATGGAGCTGAAAAGAAAGGGATTCATTAAGGTTATTAAGTATAAAATGTCCAATTTCCTTAAGTACCAAGTTTGACACTTGATATCTCTGACACTTCACTTTGACACTTCTTAGTTTATTTTTATTCTGAAGGTATATCCTCAGTCTTGCAAACACACATTTTGACTTGTGATTATCTTTCAAATATTTTAGAGCAATTTTTGTGAAATCATGGATAAGTCAAAAATTCATGTTATTTTTTTAATATGAATTCGATGGTGGAACCAATGCTGTGCAGACAGCTTGAAATATCAATGAAGTGTTTGGGAAGGAGGTGGCTAATGAATGCACAGTATGTCAATGGTTTGAGAAGTTCCAGTCTGGTGATTTTAATCTTGAAAATAAGCCATGTGGGTGACCTGAGACCAAGATGGATAATGATGAGCTGAAAGCTGTAGTGGAAGTGAATCCATCTCAACCTATGCTTGAATTAGCAGCAAGGTTTGACGTTACTATTCCAACAATAATGGACAATTTGAAACAAATGGGCAAGGTAAAGAAGCTGGATACATGGGTACCGCATGAATTAAACAAGTGTCAAAAGAGAAATCATCCTGAAGCTTGCCTTTCTTTGCTGTCACAACATAAAGGTAAACCATTTCTACACTGTATTGTTATGTGTGATGAAAAATGTGCTCTTTTTGACAATCACAGGTGTTCAGCACTATGGTTGGATAAAGATGAAGTGCCAAAACATGGTCCAAAACCAAATATTCATCAAAAAAAGCTAATGGTGTCAGTTTGGTGGTCCAGCGCTGGTATTATCCACTACAGCTTCATGAAAACTGGTCAGTCGATCACAGCAGATATCTACTGCAAGCAATTGGAGGAAATGATGAGGATGCTTGTGATTAAGAAGCCAAGATTGGTCAATGGAGACAGGCCAATCCTCTTGCAAGACAATGCTCAACTGCATGTCGCACAAACAACTGTTCAAACTACAGAGACTGAACTTGGAAACTCTAAGTCATCCAGCGTATTCACCAGACCTTGCACTAACTGACTACCACTTCTTCCAGGCTTTGGATCACTTCTTGCAAGGAAAAATATTCAATTTTCAACAAGCTGTGGAAAATGCCTTTCATGAGTTCGTCGCCACTTGCTCTCCAGGCGTCTTTGCTGCCAGCATAAAGAAGCTACCATTAAAATGGCAAAACTGAGTCGACAGTTTAGGTGCATACTTTGATTAATTGTACTGCTTCTTGTTTGAGATATAGTAAACTATATTTTTGATTTGAAATCAGACATTTCATATTTAATGACCTAATATTTGATTGATTTCTGAGGTAGGATTTATAAAACAATTGAAAATTTGGGATGAAAGTGTGGGAAAGCAGGATGGGATGATGCCATGTATGACTCATCTTTCTCTCTTAGGCAATCGAGTAGGTGGAAAAGCATCAGCTCAAAATGAACAACCAATTTGAGAGTATTATAAATGATTTTGCTTTTGAAAGGCCTTTTGAGGTGCCTGTAAGATGTGCATGTATTTTAGTAGAGTGTCCAGTACGAAGTTGCAAGTATAGATCTGGAGTTTAACATTCCTTCCTCAAAGTGGCTTCTTAATTACCCAGTGTTGGTATATTCAAATAGCTGTATAAGTTAATGAATTTGCTGTCCTGCAATACGTTTTCCACTTCTGATGATGACATACTGCAATTAAGCAAGTTATTTATTATAATAAAATGTGCATAGAATTATAGCGCTGAAAGAAACTTTAGAAATTATTATATTCTTCTTTTTGTTTTTGTTTTTTTTTTTTTTTGAGACAGAGTCTTGCTCTGTTGCCCGGGCAAGAGTGCCATGGTGTCAGCATAGCTCACAGCAACCTCACACTCCTGAGTTCAAGCGATCCTTCTGCCTCAGCCTCCGAGTAGCGGGGACTACAGGCATGCGCCACCATGCCCGGCTAATTTTTATATATATATTTTTAGTTGTCCAGATCATTTCTTTCTATTTTTTAGTAGAGACGGAGTCTCGCTCTTGCTCAGGCTGGTCTCGAACTCCTGATCTTGACTGATCCACCCGCCTTGGCCTCCCATTCCCAGAGTGCTAGGATTACAGGCGTGAGCCACCGAGCCCGGCCTCTTCTTTTTGTTTTGAATTGAAAATTGCACCTAATGCATTCCCAGAAACACCACTGACTTCTTTAAAATCTCTGGCATAGCTGACTTACAACTCCCTTGATAACATGTTCTAGCATCTCCCTAAGCCAATAGGAAGATTTGGCTAACCCCAGCCTATATCCTTCATGCTGTAAGCATAGTTCCTTCTTTCTGGTCTTATCCTATCAGAGATTGAAAACAGCTGTTTAGTGCTAATAACAAAATTAGCAAATTTAAAAATTGTTGAATGCACACTTTAGATTTTAACTGAATTACAAGCCTGGAAATATTTATGAATTTACGGCAGGAAAATATAAACTAGATTCATCATGATAGTTTTTCAACTGCATGGAAGTGTGATTAAAACAGTTTTAAGAATTTTCAACATTAAAGGCTCAAAGCGCTGTCATTGAAATGATATTCTGTAAATTCTGAAGTGATTAAATATTTTTGGACAAACTATCTGAAAGTATTTTTCATTTGTACAGATCTCATATGAAATGAATGGTTGTACAAAGTGAAAATAAATCACTATTTGCATTCCTCATTGCAAATCAGCCACTCACAATCTTCAGAACCTCCAGTGTTGCATTCAACTATAAAATTCATTTATACTGGAGGCTTATGTGTATTTTAAATGAAATATAAATAATCTTAATTATTTTTATACAATTCCAAAGAGTAAATATAATAAATTTGTGCTGTCCTAAAAGCTTTCTCTACTTGTAGTTGCTCATCCTAACATCCACTGATTTCAGAAATGGGTAATAAAGGAAAATAAAAATGAAAGAAAAAATGATTTCTTTCTTTCTTTTTTTTTTTTTTTGAATCAGGGTCTTACCCTGTTGCAAATGCTGGTGGTGTCATGGCAATTCACCACAACCTCCAACTCCTGGGCTCAAATGATGCTCCTTCTTCAACCTCCCAAGTAGCTAGAACTACAGGCATGAGCCACCACACCCAGCTGAAAATGATTTCTTTACTTTAATATCATTTATTGCCTCTCACTAGCCCTGACTTATTGAGTTTGAGTAAAAATATTCTGCATCTTCTGAACCTATCTAGCAGTGTTTTTTCGTAAGAAAGTACAGCTGTCTGATCATTGTTCACTAAAGTTGGCCACTTCCAACCTCTTATCTGCTTCAAAAGTCCAAAGGGAATGTACAGGGGGACATAAATCGTATGGATGACCTATTTCAAAGGTAGCAGTTTTGTTTATTTTCAAACTGAAGTGATTTTTACTATGTTGTAAGTAATCTAAACTGTCGTGTAGATAGTGAATAAAAGAAAAAAGTTTCTCTTGAAATTGTCCTATGAGACAAAAGGGCACATGGAAGACAAATACATACAGGCAGTCCCCGGGTTATGGACCACCCGACTTACGACATTCTGTACTTAACG